TATGAAATATTGCTGAATCTATCTATGAAATATTGCTGAATCTATCTAAGAAATATTGCTGAATCTATCTATGAAATATTGCTGAATCTGTCTATGAAATAATGCTGAATCTGTCTATGAAATAATGCTTAATCTGTCCATGTGTAATCTACTCTCTCTGTCATGTTTTATTTTGATTGATGTTATTTTGTTTGACCTCTTGTTACACACTTTGTGTGTCAGAGCGTAATAAAAAAAAAATCTTGAAATCTTGACATAGGTCCTGATTGTCTAAGAAAGAAGTAATCTAGCCGGGTATCTATTCCTGTAAACAATAAGTTGATTATGTAAACAAACAGGACTGATCTATGACGTTTAAGTAAACAGGAAATACTCGCTGTGTAACCAGCCCTACGTTTAGTTATTGGATGAAATTCATTACTTTCTATCACGAAAACCAAGTGTCAGAAATATTGAAATGTTAAGGTCATTTAAAATGAAGAATGTTAAATGCATACCTAACTTATGTTTAAAAAAATAGGCAACTAATAATATTATTTATTTAGCCGTCAGTCCTTAATTCCAAATTGTCCAACACCTACAATAATACGTATTTTATGTCGTCAGAGTACTCCAAAGCCACATAATACCTCAAACATTTATTTACCTCCACATACAACCAAAGGTAGGACTCTGATATTACCATTCTGTGTAAAGGGAGCAACATCATCAATTTAGGGGATAGTACGTTGTTTTGAGTGGCTATACTGGCGATTAGAACATGAAATTTTGGTTTGAACTCGAGACCGATAGGTCGAGAGTTTAAACCAAATTTCATTTTCTAATCGCCATTATAGACACGAAAAACAACGTACTATCCGCATTCTAACACATCTTAACAACTATACTACGCTAATATGTTTAGAAACATTGTATTTCCTTGTACAAAAGTACGTAGTAAAGTACTTTGTAACGTGTCATTCTGAAGCGGACTGACCAATCGGCAAGAAGCTTTCAAACTCGGTCATTTGGCCCCGCCCATATTGGCGAGCGCTCGATCGGTATGTTGACGAGGCGGAATATTTGGACTGTTCGTAAACGTCCTGTTACCCAAGTTTATATGACACATTTGGATTAATATTGACCAAATTCTTACATTTCCATGTCAGTATGCATACCAATATGTGCTTACCGACAAAATCGGTGATTATTTGTATAGATTTGTGAAGAGTTTTGTG